CAATTTCATTTCTCTAATCCAATTCCCACACAATAGCAATTTTGTAATAAAAATGTAAGGAGGATTTTTGTGCGCTTTTTCTCGAGCAAGGTTGTGTTTAGAACGACAAAATGGGCATCTTTGAGGAAGTATAATGATTAGTGAAATATCACCAATCGCATGATCAGGGAAATGTTAACTTGTGTCAACTGGTATGTGTTTTGAAAGTTATCATTAGCCCTACAGCTGACTTTGGGCTTCACACAGATGAAGATCATTAGTCACAGCAAGTCGGGTGGTTTGTAAACAGAAGGGTGTTTCAAGGATGTAAAAGAGACAGAAACAAAGGTAGAGAAAAGGTGAGATGAGTACTGTGGAAGGAGTCCAATATGACATACAGTAGGGTCATGGTAGTTTATAGTCAGAAGTCAACTGCCGAATAATAGACTTATTTGCCGTATGAGTTTATGTTTCCCAGGGTGCACCACGTAGAGGTAAGTCTATAGCACACCCCAGTTTTAGAATATAAAGAAGCAAAAAAACTCATCAGCAGAGCTACTTTAAGACTTCAATCAAATTAGATGTAAATTCTAGCATTCAAATAATCTACCAAAGTGGAGATAATAGGAGTTAAGAGAAACAATGCAGTCATTAGACAACAATCAAGAAATAAGAAAGAAAAGAATGTGAGCATCGGTCAGTCAGTAGAAATTGAGTAGCGGTTAAAGGACCGACTTAAGTTAAGATCAATGGATTCGAATGGCTTTGTGCTGTTCGCTTGTATAGTGAGTAATCAATAAACATCCGCCAACTGACAATCAGGACAAATCTTTCGGCACGTGCTACAAATGGCCAAAAAGGAGTGCGCAAGAATGGCATAAAATAACTTCTGCCTAGAGCGAAAACGAATACTTGAAAATTAATATTGGAAATCGATGCCCACAGGATTTAATAATTGCGCATAAATTACCACTTGTTTGAATAAAATTGAGACCATGAATTCACATCAATGCATTTCATTGCAATAAACATAAAATCACAGATTTCCATTACCGGCAGTCAGCCCACTCTAAAACCCCCCAAGATGGACTATCTATTTACCCAGCCGATTAGGACTCTATTCACTTGATTAATAATATGGGCACTAGAAATTTGCTTGGCAATTTTTCCCAATAAATATTTATATTCTATTATGTAATGCAACTGGTTTCAGATTATTCTCTGCATTGATATTAGTCAAATGGAAACAGAGAGGAAAAATATCCAAATGGATTTCAATTTCCACCTTGACGCTTAGGATGGCTAGACAAAATTTGCAATCGCTTGATTATATCTCGCCAGCTTTAAATCATCTTTAATGGCGATAAAAGTGAAATCAGCTAGAAATAAAATTTTACTGCACTATAAACTGTAAAGTAAATTTATGATATATGCGAAGCAGAATTCTTTATCTGGGGGTGGGGGGGGGGGGGTAAAAGGAGTATTTTCAACAGATGTTGAAGAAAGAAGCCCTGGTCTGACATCAGCAGTCTCTATGGCAAAATCCCGAGGCATGAAATCGCTCCCAAAACTAACTAAACTATTTCAACATCCTCGAGGAAAGTGAGCATGATGTGGAATACATTTATGGTTGGACAGCCCAAACGATTAGCCATTTATGCCACTTGTTTTATTGATCACTGGCTGAGAAATTTCTGCACACACGGTCGCACATTCCAGTATGTTCTATGACGAATGAAATAGTGTTGAGTATCCCGCAAAGTAACCCTATTAATGAAATCCGCTATTGGCATGATCTAAAACCTACTTACAGGGAGAGAGAGATTCCAAAGATTCTTTGCAAAATTTCTCAAAATCTATTTTAATTGCCTCTTGTAAATTCTAAACTGGAAGTCTGTAATAAATAAGTAAGATTTACTTTCATGATGGCATGCAAACTGCTCGGGCTTTACAGATAAATAAAAGTAATTATTAAATAATCATTTGGTCACAAAGCATTCCTCTAGCGGTTTTTGACAAAAATATTGTCAAAATTTAGACCTTCATAATCTGCCTATAAACTGGCAGTTGACTTCTGATTTCTAACTACCATGGCCCCACTGTATGTCATATTCAGCCATTTCCACAGCACTCACCTTTAAAATTTCTCTATATTTTGTTTCTGTCTCTTTACATCTGTGAATCGCTCTTTTGTTCCCCCCCCCCCACTGTTTATGATCTTGCTGATCTTATACCATCATTAAGTGCAGAACTAAGAAAGGAAGTGAAGTCATTAAAAAGAGCGATCTGGGTGTGAATTTCTCAGAAAAGCGCACTCAGGGAGCCTTTCTACCGCCCTCCCCAAGTTTTGAAATGTTTTCAAACTTGAATTCAGTGAAACTAAAATTCTCCGATGTCCAACTTACTTTTGGAGATCGTATCAAACCCAACCCTGTTCAAATTGCCTAACCACAATGAATTGCTATGCATGACAATGATGATTCACTGTTTTAAATTAATGGACTTCTGGAGAACATCAGTAAAACACGTTAATTATATATATATATATATATATATATATATATACATATGATAAGGGAAGACTTGCCCAGACACCAGTTTTATAGCACACATTCTTTTCATTCACCTTTAAAAATGTCCAATCATTTTAAAGTTAATGTTTGCAAGGCTTGGAACTAACAAAATGAAAACGTCATAAGGGTGAGGTAAATACTACACAACTGGTCCTGGAATTTCTCGTGTCTTCTAAGCAGCGGACTCCGTTTTAATAGCCAAACGTGCATCTGCGTGTAAATGTCTGTGTCGTCGTCGTCGTTGTTGCGGCAGCGGTTGTGGTGGTGGCGGCGGCGGCGGTGGAGGCGGAGGAGGAGAAGGATGAGGAAGGTAAAATAACCCGCAGGCAATCTCGAGAGAGACGACTTGGTAATACTTGTGCTCCATTATTACTACCACCCCCTCCCCCCGCCACCACTCCCCACCTCGACTGTGCGAGGCAGAGGTAAAGTATAATATATTGGAGGCATAAATGTTTAACTAAAGGAAATACGCCAATGCTGCTATCGGGCAAAAATTTTAAGGGGAGAAAAATGTGAAATTCTCACTCTAAGCACAAAAGCTGTTTTGAATGTTGGAAATGATTCCTTACGTATTTCGACTTTCCCTATTGGCTGCTTTTTGAAGCCAAAAGGTTATGTCATAAAGCTAATTTGCTTAACTTATTGATATTCCCCAACAAACCACATCATACTGCACTTTGTGAAGGGAGTCTGAAGTGAGATTAGTAAGAAAATTTGTCCCTAAAGTCTAGTGTTGTTTTTTTGCGTATTTGAGAGCGTTGCAATTGCTGTTCCAACCAATTAATGCATCTCAACACCAACGGTAAATGGGAAATTCTCGAAGAAGCACGCACTATCCACTTTTAGAGATTACTTCTCTCAATCAGCGGCGTTTTTTAAATGGACTCACAAAGGTATTTAGCCGAATACGGAAATTTTTTACCACTACTGTAATAACCTACTTAAATGGCCTCTACTAATTCCGATTGCCTGGGGAAAGTCTACAACCCCACGTTCTAAATTAATATTTATTTCATATTTTCCGTCATTTATTAGTATACGCCAAACCGCCATTTGAGCATTTTTTATCACGGAAGCCATCTGTGCAAGGGAATTATAATTTATTCCAATTGGATAGAGGCTAATTAAGAGGGCCATGAAGGGAGAACTCCAAAGGGCTAAAATGAACTCAATCAAATTTTCAAAAAGAAGAAAGGTATTCCAATTGTGATTTCGGCTTGCAGACTTTGACTTCCAAATGTAGAAGTGAGATCATGGTCCTTATGTTCGGAGACCAAGGGCTGTTCGAATTTCTTCTTGCCAATGATCGGAGCATTCGGTATATTCGTGTCCTTTTGCAGCAAAGGTCAAGTGGATGAGTCTATCTACGACACATTCAAATTAGCGCTGCTCACGATAGTTCAATCAAATTGAGCTGATTAAAAAGTTAAAGTATGCTCATTTGTGGCATTGCGACAAGTACAATTTACTTGAAGCTACGAAACTTCTCTCAAAAAGAAATATGGAATGATTAACTCTTGTTATCACTTGTGTATTCGATCAGAATGGAACGAAAGAAATAAAAAAGTTGTTGGAAGCCTCAGTGGTGCCTTAAGTTCGGCCAATTTTTCCCGCACAATGGTTCTTCACCACCTTCGTGGATCATTGAAGGGGGCGTCTTTTGATGTTCTGTGTCACAACTAGACCTCCTTAATGCAGTTTACACCGAACATTGAATTTTAGCCAGTGAATTAAATGCGGTGGGAATATGATATTTCCCTTTTTTGAATTACGAAATAAGATTTCAACTCCATCAGAGGTGAAAGTGACTCCCTTCCTTATGAACCAATATCATCCGATCCTAGTCATTCTCTTATGCAACCATAAGAGTTTTAGAGGTCATACAGCCTGTAACAGATTTGTAGAAAGCTGCGCTATTCTGCATACGTCCTCGACAAGTAAAGTTGCCGACTCAAATAGACCCTTATTCATGAGCACATATGACGAGGGTAATAAATAAAGCCTTAATGATGTCATTTGCCGAAATGGCCACCTAATTGTCTTCACCGAGGTTCCAAGGGTGGCATTTATCGACGTATCGAATTTTGACAATGCTATCATTAAGCTTATTAACTAGGGTGTACTCATGGCAAAGAACGGAAGTAATTTGATCCTGATAAATCCACCAAGAATGATGCACCGCGAAGTGCGTTGATTTCTCACATTTTGGCCTCATTTCTTTTCGCCACTTTATTGCCATAACAACAAAACTAATTTAGATTTTAAAATAGCCTATTAAAGCACGAAACTTTATTAATTACCAAGGCAACCACGCAATTAATCGTCTTACCACTGGGGGTTACTTTTCAAAGAAGACGAGTCTTCAAAAAATCTAATGGTAAATAGTTTAGTTTACAAAAAGCACTATTTAGGAGTGGAAGGAGAGTGGGGGGGGGGGTCACCAGACTAGGCTGAGGAGTCATGATTTCTAATAGGTCGAAAGTGGGCCTTTCGAAGGAGTTCCGACTGCCGTTCCGCCGAGACAGGTCTAAAATGCGCTAAGCGTAGCGCAATGTCTGCTCGACCAGAGGAGAGACTGCGAACAGCAGCGGAGAAACCGGACAACTCCGATAGTGGAGCGAATGCCCGCAGGAAGCAGTCACTACTTCCACGATCGCCTTCCCGTTCTACCACCTCGACACCTTCAATTTCACCTCGACGTCGCGATAGTTCCCCAATGAACGGAGCCAAGGATGCATCTTCCGCACCGGCATCTATGAGAACAGAAGCCATAGAAGTTGTAAGGTGTCAGTACGAGAAGTTAACTAAATGCAAGCAATTCAGAGCAGCGTAACTTGATCAAGAAATGCATTTCCGATAACGCAACGTGATTGCGATCCAACATTCGTGAATACTTCGCCACAAACAGCACCACAGACAAAAAAATCGTAACTGAAATCAGCTTGGAGCAAGGAAGGATACGATAAAAAAAGAGGCTGATTTTGCACTAAATGGGAAGCACAAGTTTCAAAAAAAGTTAAAATTCATAAATACTTTTTTTGGTTCAATGAGCAAGTCTTTGCATACAATATTCAGTCCCTATTGACCGGAAGTTAAGTCATGATTGCTGATTTTATCGCCATAACTCTTTAACGCCCGAATTAGTTTCTTGAAAAAAGCACTCAACCGCACTCACGCGTGTCTCACAGCAGACTGTTGATGCCGACATGATGAGTTTCGGTGGTACCAAGGGAAGGCTAAAGACGTATTAAGCATGTCTCAAACGGCAAGAGCGTGCCTTCCATTACGCGTCTATTACCAATGGAGCTTATTTTGAAAGAGGAGCGTACAGTCCTAGGGGCGTTAAAAGGTTTAAAGCGATTGCAATAACCTCAATGACAAAGGAAAATCGTCATAGTTTAAAGTAACTTTAGCAAAGAGACTAAGCACAGAGTGCCTGGAGAACACAAATTCCAACCTGACGCGTTTTCAATCCTCCTGTTAGTTCTCACAGTGTGAAAAAGTGAATTCTATTTGGCTTCTGGTATGCATAATGAAAGAAAAGCATTTGAAATATGTGATTTAATAAATTCGGTGGCAAATGATATGACCACAGTGGCTTCCCAATTCATTAATCTATTAAAATTTTCTACTTTAGCTACCGGGGGGTGTGCGATAGACTTGCCTCCACGTGGTACATCCTGGACAGTATATACTCATACGGCAAAAAAGTCTATAAACTGGCAGTTGACTTCTCATACGGCAAAAAAGTCTATTAACCGGCATTTGACATGACTTCAAACTACAATCACCCCACTGTATGTCAAATTCGACTACTTCACTTCAAACTACCAACACCCCACTCTATGTCATATTCCACCATTTCAGCAGATCTCGCCTTACCTTTTACTCAACATTTGTGCCTGTCCGTCTCTTTTACATATCTGAATAATTACTCTGTCCACCCCCCCCTCCCCGCTCTCGACTTTTTGCCACTTTGATGTTCCCCCTCCTCCATTTGAAATAAATGTAAATAAACTTTAACTACCAGTCATTAAACTAGAGTAGTAAATATACCTCTGACCCAGGAGAATATGTGTGGGTATTCGTTGTACCTTCAGGGCAGTTTATTTTAAGTGCCAATAGCCATTTTTATGGCTCCACAAGCTAGATCGATGGCAATTGTATTCTTTCGTGCTGTCTGGACAGGCTGTCAAGGTTTCAAGAACAGAGACCACCCGCATACATATCATGTGAGATGAAATTTGGGCACTGGCTATTTGCCTGAAAGAAAACTGTCCTGTCATTTACGTGCTGTACTTTTGTTTTCGCTTATATTTCAGATTCACTATGTGCGTGTGTGTGCGTGCGTGATTGACTCCCAGTGCTACTGATCAATAACCATGTCAATAAACATGAAATAAGGTTTCATCGTGTCATAGTGCTTAAACTCAACTTGTGGAGACAAATCATAAATCATATAAACGATGCATAACTATGAATGCAAAAAAATGTTAATGAAGTATTTGTAGGTACACTAAGTGCAAGTACTAATCTCAAAAGGAAGAAGAATATTTTGTGACATTTGAGGTGCTAGGGACGGATTGTAACGGCGGGCAACCTCCTTAATTCAATCAATTAAGACGGAGGAAATACTCATAAAATGCCAAAGACAATTTAGCTTACAAATTCTATTGAGGAAGCATAGCCAAATAAGCGGTAAAGAATAAGGGGAGATGAAATTTCTAGATATTCTCCCCCCCCCCCCCCTCTTTTCCCAACTCCCAATTACGATCGGTAAGATGAAAGGCCATTAAAAAGGAAGCAAGCATGTTCGACAAATGGGAGTCCAAACGTTCTACTCGAAGTCTATTTAATTGCAGACCTAATGACAAACAGTTATCATAGCAAAGTGAGAATTTTTATATGCCTTTTTTACTCAGCTTCAGCAAACATCTAATGGAGGGAGAGAGGTGGGTGGGCAGGTAAGGCGATAAGAGGTAGCCACCACATCGTTTGACAGTTGCCAGAGTGTCCCAACCATCACGTTAGGGGGTATATGACAAGCCTCAAATCTTCATCCATCCCCCTCTTGCACTGCCAACCTCTCATTCGACCCATCACCTCAACTCCAAGTGTCAGAATTGTGATTAGAATTCGAGAGCAAAAAAATAGTCCCAATTACTTCGAGTGGAGTGGGAATAAAACTGAAGGATGGCAGAAGTGTAGACCATAGCGAGTATAGCAGATATATACATATACATATATATATAATTTGGAACAAAATATTTTATCTTCCACTTTTTACAATCGGCCTTAAATCTTTCACCTCAATACGTGGGACTTCAATTATTGTATGCTTAGATCGATCCTATTTCATTTTGGTTGGCGCCAAACTGGGTGCTGATAGTTTTCAATGCTCACACCAGTCTACCTGGACGCTTAAATATTGAGTCGGTTTGACTCCACTTGTACGTCTCCAGTCTACGACCTTCATGTCTTTATGCCTACTACACACCACTTCGAAAAACCTATTATCTCCAACTTTGTCTTCCGTTTATATTATTCAATAGGTCCTCCACTCACTCTCCCCAGCCTCTTAACTCTACCACGAGTAAAACAGTCCGTCACAAGAATAGAACTTCTGTATTCCAGTGAATATAGTCACGGTAGCAACCAGTAGTTGAAACGATAGTTCCTCCAATTAATTGATCCCATTCTATCATCACCACCTTGGTGCTTTCACATCAGTGCTTTTTACCCTCAGCTCATTAGACTGCAATAATGACCTTCGAGCTTGTAATCCCTGGATTGGCAGAAGTCTACGCTGGCCTATAAGCCAGAAGTGGGCTTTAGATTTACTATCAGCCCAGATAAACAAATGAAATTTTGAAAATTATCGATTTCCGAAGATTAATACATTCATGAAAATTGGGAAGCAGCAAATTCAAAAAAAGTATTAAATTTGAAGAAAAAGAGGAAAGATTTCAAAATATATTTGTCTGGTTTGGCAGAAATGGACAAACCAACCCTTTTGATTCCAGATTTCGCTTATGTCGCTTTCTACTTTCAGTGATCTGGGGTGTGTAATAGACTTACCTCCACGTGTTGCACTATGGGCAGCGTGTACTCATACGGCAAAAATGTCTATTAACCGGCACCTGACTTCTGACTTCAAACTACCATGACCCCACTGTATGACATATTCGACCCCTTCACAGTACTCATCTTACCTTTTCTCTGCCTTTGTGTCTACTTCACAGTACTCACCTCACCTTTCATCTACCTTTGTGTCTTACACAGTACTCATCTTACCTTTTCTCTGCCTTTGTGTCTGTATGTCTCTTATACATCTGTGAATCATTATTCTGTCCCCCTTCTCCACTTTTTGTAACTTTGATGTTCCTCCTCCCCTCTGTGAAGCCCGAAGTCAGCTAAAAGGCTAATGATAACTATCAAAACACCTGCCATTTGAAATAACTAAATAGACTTTCAGTGATTTCTAGTTTCCCCAACTCTCCCTCTCTCTCTCACTATGTCTCATAGACGTGGCTAACAGCCACTCGAACCCAAAACTTCCCGATTCCCTCAAATCTAACCTCAACTACAGCCGAATTCTCATCGACGTTTAAGTTGGCGGTAAATTGTAAGCATTCAGGAATGCAAGAGTAGTTGAAATTAAAGGAAATGTAACTCTTGCTTTGAAGTACATCGCTAAAGTGAACACAGAACCAGCATGATAGTCAAATTTAATAAAAAAATAGAAAGAACCTTGAGTCTGTAGTGCAATATTTTCAAGGCCTTTATAATTTCCATCAAATTTGTAATAATTCGTAGTGGAGAAGAGGTAACAAAAGGCCTAGTACACATTACTCATTTGAAAAGTCGTCAGGTGATTTCGTTAAGCAAAAAGAGTGATAAAGCACAATTCTCTTTACTAATCCTGAATTTCGTAAGACATGGTAATTGAAAAAAAAAATACATCCGAGAAGATGTTAAAGACCACTTCTAGAAGAGCATCACCTGAACCGTTTTCAAGGAGACCTTTAGACACTGGAAAGTCAAATGCATCTCACGCTACATTTTCAACTATCACCAGACAATAGGGCACGCTTGCCATCTTCAAACGCTTTCTTTCTCAGGGGTGCAAGTAAATGTTGACTAACCCCCCCCCCCTCCTCCCCCTCCTTCCCCTCCCCCTTTACCCCCTTATTAAAAAACCCAAAATGCGTTCAATTCTGGGGGACTCGAATAGCATTGGAGGCCATTTTAACAGACCGAAACACCGCCGACCTTGAGACGGAGAGGGGAAAACAGAGTCGGAGATTTCGGGGAAGAGTGGAATTCAAGCAAAACTGACGCAACAATCAGAGGAAGAGAGCGAGAGAGAGAGAGACAACAGAAGTGCCAAAAAAACTCAATGATTCACACACAGGCGTCCTTCCTAAACGCGTCAGTGAATAGTTTGCACTTGTAAGAAAATGTTAATTAAGAAAGACTTCCTTTCTTCCCCAATGCACTTTAAAAAAATGACGACATAGCAATATTTAAGTGGAAATATTAAAATTAGGTAAAAAAATGTGATATAAGCCGTTGACTTCTTTCTTCTTACACTGAAGAAGGCTTCCAGGCCAGAATCTTGCAGTTTGAACAATTAATAATTGGAAAGTGTGAAGAAAAGTAAATAGAATTCAAGGTGCTCAAAACTTATTCTCCAATTGAGTAATCTGGATTTTTAGTAAGTGTGGTTTCTTTCTTTACTTCCAAAGATATGAAAAGCTTCATACATTCAATCTTTCTTCAAATCATTCCATTTAGAATTCCAACTAACCTTGCCTTTACCTATCAATCCAATAGCAATTATTAAATTTTTTAGAAAACTACTGTTCAAGTAAACAGTAGAGAGTGAAGAAGTAACATTTGAACCAAAGTTTATCAAACTGTCTCACTGGCATCCAGAGGTAGTTGAATCTCAACAGCCATGAAAGGTTCAAAGATCTTCCATTCCTTGAGTCCATCCAACGCGTCTTTAACCGATTTGATAACAGTTGAGCGCAGAAGTGCCGCAAACGAAGCGAAGCTCTGAGAGGACATAGGCACCTGAAGTCTTGTCAGACCGTCATCACTGGTTGAGGTGGTTGATGAGAGTTGACCAACGCGGAGAACACGCACTCCCACTCCGAGAACTCGTGAACGAATAAGGGGTCCCCCAGTTGCCATTGCCACTTCACAGCCCTGTCTCACGCAGGCCATCACCTTGTGGTGACTGGCTGAGGATTGGGGACCTTCGTTTTTACCACCATGGAGATTTTCAAGATTCCAACCTTTCTCGAAGGAAACCTATTTAAACACAGGTTTAAATGGCTTTCAAGTAAGGACATAATTAAGATGCATTAGCCCAGTTTACCCTAAGTAATTATTAAGTCCTTTAAGAGGATCGCTTATTTTTACTGAGGTTGTTCACAACGATTCATACTCTATCAGAGAACAGTAGTCCCTTGTTCTACTCAGTTGTAAAGTATCACAATCAGTCCAACACTTTCTCAACTTTCTTCATCTCAACCGATTTTACTCCCATGTAAGCCTCTAAATGAAATCTAAAGTGCATGCATATGAAGAAGAAATCGAGAGAGTAAAATAAGAGACAATAAGAGAATGAAAAGCATAAGGGCTCTCTCTCTCTTCCTCAATACGTCTCTATTCCCAGAGGACAAAGAAAATGTTGAGGGAAAAAAGTGACTGACGGAAAGGAGAGAGAAAAAAGGTGGATAAGGTTTGGTGGATGCAACCGTCACGTGGAGAAGAAGAAGATGAGCAGGAGGAGGAGGAGGAGGTAACTAAGTTGTAGTCTGCAAGCAGATACAACTCACTTTTTCAGGATATGCACTCACTAATTATGGTTCATCCGCGAGTACAAGTCAACTATCATTTTCTCTAGCTAAAATTGAAGACTGCAGAGGATAGAATTGGTAAATAAGGCGTCGAAAACAGCGTCAAGACAGTAGAAGGCTCTATTGAAAGCACAGAAATAGGGCACAGTCTTTCCCAAAGATAAATGACTAAGTACCTGATCGGAGTGTGCAAGAGTAGACGCCTCGCGAAAAAGCCTCCCATCATTTCTTCTTTTACAAGAAGAGTAAATTATGAGACTCATAAATAGTTAAAAGCACTCGTAAGTAAATATCCAATCGAGGGGTGTGCGGTAGACTTGCCGCCACGTGGTGCACCCTGGGCAACGTATACTCATACGGCTAACAAAAAGTCTATTAGTCGTCAGTTGACTTCTCACTTCAAACCACCACCACCCCAAAAAGTCTATTAGTCGTCAGTTGACTTCTCACTTCAAACCACCACCACCCCACTGTATGCCATATTCTACCACTTCCACAGTACTCATCCTACCTTTTCCCTGCCTTTGTGTCTGTCTCTTTTACAACTGTAAATCACTCTTCTGTTCCTCACCTCTCGACTTTCTGCTACTTCGATGTTCCTTCCTCCTGTGAAGCCCGAAGTCACCTAAAGGGCTAATGATAACTATTAAAACGCCTGGCATTTGAAATAACTATTCAATAGAAAATGAATGATGCCTGCCATGAAGCATACAGGAGACTTTCGACATAAGATGACTCAATTAAATTGTGCCACAATGGCAGCGAATCAAATTAGACCAGGTTTGAATATCACATCCTCAAGGTGGTGACAAGCCCCATTAGAAATGAAGCTGCCACTAAGAAGAATATGACCATCTTTAATAAGCAGAGTCTTAATCGTAAAAATAAAGGCGTTGAGTAAGGCGCTCAATGACCAGAAATCACGAAGAGGTTGGAATTAATAAACAATACGCTAGCATCAATTGTGTAATAACATTAGACAGAAATCCCCCGGCTTCTTGGTTTATTGCGAGTTATTTAGAGATTATGGTGAACTCCGATACTCTCCCTCCATAGGAGGGCATTAAATTAAACGTTCAATCTCAAATTGCATGGCAGTCATAATTACAGTGGTTTGGTAATGATTCCGGGTAAATGGTCCAATAAACCAGACGGGCAATCGTTAGGTAATAAATACCAGTCAAAGAAAAGATTTTATTTCCACGTACTGAGTGGAATTTTTAACGTGCAATGCCATTACTATCAACTTTGTGGGACTTGGATACACTCAGGAATTTATTTCCCCCCCCCCCATCGTAAAGACACCCTTATTTGTCCACCCACCCCATGGGGGAATAAGTTCAAGACATTCCAATCACAAAGGCCTCATTTCTAGCCCAGATAGCTGGAATTGACTCAAAGCGAGTTGTGCCCATCTATCGGATGAAATTGAGTGAGCAAAGAAGGCACGTCTGGTCATCTTCTTCTCCTTCTTTTAGGGAGAAAAAAGGCGAATACTGCGAAATGTACTATTCTTTGACTAAAATTAGAGCGAAGAAGATTCGAATTTTGAGGCATTAGAGCAGGACTTTCCCTTAAGTAAAAGGGGACAACCCGAGGAAGCAAAAGCTCTCCTTGAAGCTTCTCCTCTTGACGGCCTTCCACTTGGTCCCTCCCCCCCCCCCCCGACGCCCCATCATTCCCCATAATCAACAGATGCTAGTCAACTGCTCGGATGCTTTCTACTGACTACAAATTTCAAAGAATCTTTCTTGTTTCCAATGAGGAGAAGGACATATTAAAGCATATCATGCTCATAGGTGATGGGGATAAAAGGTCATGTAGAGCAATGGTATCAAATCCCCATTCCAAGAATTAGGAAGCTGAGATAACTTATGAGAGTGCATTTAAAGACCACCTATTGTGAACATGGGAGGAGTAGAAAGCACTTTCAGGGGTCCCAAAACGAGGCAACCTACAACGTTCCAGATGCACGCGACTCCACAAGGAGTCTTTGAGTGTGGATTTTGTCTCATTGGGATTCTCCAATAATACAAGTTATCACCACAAAGATCTGTTGCTAAAGATAGCATGGGAATAGCTTAAAAATAAAAGGTAAATAAAGAGGTAAACTCTTTTCCAAACTGATGGCCCTTCTCCACAAGGAAGGGAGGGGGGGAGAACAAAGCACTCAAAAAATCCAATTTATTTGTCACCTTCATCCAGTGAGAAGAGAATAGTGGAAAAGACAGGAGCTTTTTGTGAGGAAATAAATGGTCTAATTAGACTGGAAAAAAAACACGAAATGACGGGAAGAAGGCGGCTAATGATGAATTTAAAAATAGTGCGATGAAAAGGTGTGTAAGTAATTTAATTTATGTAGTCGCTCAAGTGAACTCAAGTGCAATGCAAAATTATCTGCGAAGAGAAGTAGATTTGGTCAACTCTTGAATTCAAGGGGGGTGTTTAAACACCGGTGGAAAAGTGCATTGATTAATATATTTCTAGTGGAAATCTGTGAATTTGTAAATGATAAAGAGACGAATCAAGGATATTCATTTTCATAAAATTCTCTCTCTCTCTCTCTCTCTGTGTGTGTGTGTGTGTGTGTGTGTGTGTGTGTGTGTGTGTGTGTGTGTGTGTGTGTGTGTGGTGTACACATCACTACTGAATCAGGTAAATAGTTAGATGCTGACGAGAAAGTGAGCTTTCTGAATAAAGACTAAAACAAAGACTTCAAATTCGTCCTTCTAAGTCTAAAGGATCGTAGTCATAATCTACCTCAGTGGGCGACTCAGATTATTTGTGAGTATAAGCCATTACATGACTGATAACTTATCCCAACATTAATATCGTATACTACCATTGTTTCCAATCACGAAATTGGAATAAGGGTGACAAACAACTTCCATGAAGCTAGAGTTGGAAAGGAGACTAGATGTCCTTGCTATAAGCTGGTGGGGAGAAAAGTTATAAATGGGTATTTCAAAATCATGGGAGGAATAGAATGGACGTTTGAATAAATCAAATCGAAAACTCTGATTCGCCAGTTTCTTCTCTAAGCGTCAGCTAGAAGACACATCAAACGTGCTCACACAAAAGGAGCTGGGGCGATCATCAAGTCAACAGAAGTCAGAATTTGTATGATCATGGTAGTCGTGAGGTGGATAATACCAATGGTAAGAGGCTAATTCAGCATAAAGGACCAAAAAATTGCGTTGAATGACTGGACAAACAACTATTTCGATAATCGAAAGGATTTCGAAGAAAAGGCAAAATACACAAATCCAACGTACGCGAGTTTTATTGGACGTTGACAAATATCCGTCTGAGAAGGCCTCCAATTCCACGAATATCGTCCTTTGTCGACCGCCAACCAAACCTACAGAGGTCAAAGAAAAATGAACTTTGTATTTATGCAACGAAAGCAAAAGATAAATTCAGCCAATCGGAAGTGATTAAAGCGACGCCTTTGCGCAGTCGTAAAAGAGGAGTTCATCAGTTCACCCATAAGAACTCACAGTTCCATCGGAAGTGAGCAGACAAAGACCAGAAAGACTCTAATTACTAAAGTCAATAATGGTAATTACTAATAGTATTTGTCTTGGGTAGATATCCAAAGGCAGCCCCTATTAGCTATTCATAATCGACCAACCAGCTTATGGATAGAGTTAATCAATAAAAGCCACTAGATGTGTACCATTGAGCATCGATAACGTGGGGTAAAGGAATATTTTAAAAAAGAAGCCCACTACCAGCTAAAACAGTGAGTCATTTACATTAGCCGAAAGCTATTCATCAAACCGCCCAACCCATTTCGGAAGGAAGAGAAACTGGCCACTATCCACCCACCCCCTCCCCCCCCCCTTTAATCAGATTGAGTAAATTACCAACAACAACAACAACAGCAAAAACCGCGTCAAAATGCTGTAATGGTGTGGTGAATTAAGATAATAAAATTCCGTGGGGAGGTAATAAAAATTGAAGGATAATGAGAGAGGAAGGAGAGTGCGAGATGAGTAAGGTATACGGAAGAACAAAAAATCGAAATTATGCATTAAATTGGGATTAATAAAGCAGCCAGAAGCCAGACAGTATCGATTATTAAGCTCCGCCATTGACATGGAAGACAAATTGCTTCAAGTTAAGTACCTGAGTGGTACTATCAGCCTCCTGCATTAATTAATCGTTAAACAACAGACTGGAACAATTGAGGGGTTCTTTAATTTTTAATTTTGGAAATTCTAAAGAATGCTACCGTGTGGCTGCTATGGTTGTCCAATTTACACCACCTATTAAAAAACGCTATTTTAAAGGAAAATGAGCATATTATGTCAGAGTTCTAAGAAGAATGTTTGGTGATTTTGAAATTCTACAATTACTATGAGAACGGAATTCATGGAAAAGGCCCGATTAACTATTCCTTTCAATCAAATGGCAAGTGGGTACTGGATACAATAGATAAGAATTCCTTCAGGTAATCAAAGAGAAAAGTCCGAAATGCTAAATTTCCAATATTAAAATATGATTGGTTGAGGGGCCTTTTTGCCAGTGTAATTGGAAGTAACAACGACAGTGAATCCTAATTAGCCAGGTACTAAAAAGTAAGTAACTAATTATAACTAAAAACTATAAGCCTATGTTTTTTGTGCCTTTTTAGTCTCCAATTATGGAATTTGGCATTTCACCTCCAGGAGATATTTCTCAAATTAGTTTGTAATATACTTCCACGAAGTGCTTTTAACAAATTGGGGTGCGCGATAGACTTACCTCCCCGTGGTGCACCCTGGGCAACGTATACTCATACGCAAAAAAGTCTTTTAACTGGCAGTTGACTTCTGACTCCAAATCCCACTGCATGTCATATTCGATAACTTCCACAGTACCCACCTTACCTTTCTTCCCTGCCTTTGCGTCTGTTTGTCACTTTTACATCTGTGAATCGTTATTCTGTCCCCACTCTCGACTTTTTTGTCACTTTGATCTTCCTCCTCCTCTCTGTTAAGCCCGTAGTCAACTAAAAGGCTAAGGATAACTATCACAAAGCCTGCCATTTGATATAAATAATTAAATTTTTTGCAAATTTTAACGAGTTCTATGCTTACTTAATGCGACAGAAAGTGAATTTCAAATTAACAGCGTGGCACGCTGTAAATGAGACAACCTAGCGCAAGGAAAAAGAGATTGAGTAGTTTTATAAAATTTTCCAAGGTTACTAGAAGTATTGAGTACTTTTGCCCAGAAGTTCTCTTCTCCTCCTCCTCCTCCTCCTCTTGAGAAATCGGGGCTGGAGATACTGAAAGGAGATAGCAACTATAAGCGACATTCGAATATTGCAAGTAAGGGGCAAATCGTAACCGTTAGAGGGTTAATCAATTCCAAAATAAAGTCAACACTCATGTCCTAATGCCAGAAGGGTTGAACTACACAGAGTGGTTGAAAAGTGACGCCCTATTTTTCTTGGGAAAAAAATCTAATGATTTGGTTATTTTTTCAAGTTCTCCTTGGAATAAAATATGAAAAGGAGCATAATAATACCATTAGCTTTCACTTAAATATCAAATTGTTTCATAAAGTGGTAACAAACTCCATTAAAGAGCCTATCACCATGGCAGCTCTTAGTGGTCTTCGACTTATTCAACAAAATGATTTATTACCATCTTTGCGCTTGAACAGCGACTAACCTCCGAAATTCGTAGATGGGGAGGAGGGGGGGGGGGGGGGGCGATAAAGTAGCACTGTGTTGAGCATTCATAAATATCTGGAGATTTGGAAAGGAAGATTCTCCACAAACCATCTATGTGCTAAACGACATTGAGTTAGTGCTTTAATACTCCCATTTATTTTTGAAAAATGCACATAACCACACTCACGTTTGTCTCACAGCAGCATACCGATGCCGCCGACGTGATGAGTTTTGGTGGTGCATCAGGCGAAGGCTACAGACGCATTAAGAATGTCTCAAACGGCAATAGCGCCAATGGAGTTTATTTTGAAAGGGGACAGTACAGTCCAAAGGGCGTTAAAGGGTTAATCAACAAAGCCTAACTGTAAAGGTTTGTTTTTTTTGAAAAGTCGACAAATTCATTTATTGGCGTGACAAATGATTGAATAAAAATAACTAGAAAGAGAGCAAAAACTCCTTCTTTTGCAGCTTATAGAGAAGATGTCGAGAAAAAAACAAACCCGAGGCAGGATTTGTGAAATAAACAACTCCGCATAGACCATAACAATTAGGAGTGCCCTACTTTTCATCCAAGGGGTGCGAGATAGACTTATCTCCAAGTAGTGCACTCTGGGCAATATACACTCATACGGCAACAAAGTCTGACTTCAAACTACCATGAACTCACTGTATGTCACGTTAGACCGCTTCCACAGTACTCACTTTACATGATCTTTTTCTCAACCTTTGAATCTGTCCCCCTTAAATCTGCAAATCACTCTTCTGTTCCCCCCCCCCCCCCGACTTTTTGTGACTTTGATGTTCCTGACCTCTGTGAAGCCTGAAGTCAACGAAAGGGCTAATGACAACTATCATAAAGCCTGCGATTCACTATAAATAAATAATGACATTTCTTCCGAAAAGTTCTAAGCATGTGCTGCAATCCGATTATCAATTTTACCCAGTTTTCCGTAATATTTGCGTCGTACTGTTGCGTGTGAATCATTCTTCTCCCATATTTCTAGCTTTACTCTTCGCTAGATAAATGATAACAAATTTGTCGCCTACCCCTCTACACTCTCCCTCTCTCTCTCTCTAATAATAAAATTGGCCTGCTTTCTCCCACCTTGTGAAAGTAGAGTTGGTAAGTTGGAAAAGGTTAGAGCTTAGTAAAATATGATCATTTTACTTTGGTATCTCTGCCAAAGAACTTGACAATTCTCACTCAAGTAAAAAGGATGGACCGGGATGGGGGTGGAGGTGGGTGGGGAGGACAATTATGGAAACTCGAATTTGGGCTACGTCAGAGTGCTTAAATGGCAGTGCAATATAAGTAAAGAGGAAATAAGGCACAATAAGTTCTCGCATCATTCACTGGGAAAATGTTGATTAATAATTAATATGAATGCCAGGGAACGAAGTGCCTTGAGGAAAGACAAAAATGATTGAAGAGGAAAATGCGGATAAAGATTGCCTGGTCATCAGTGTCCACCCTTTGGGCAAGATGTCACGATCATGCTCCGCCATGTTAATGCCTTGATTTACTGCCAATTTATTTGGCCACTTATAGACTTAGTGCTTGTATAAACGCCTTCTCAGATTAGTTCAAATTAAATGGACTCATTTGCTTCTACTCATAACGGTTCTACAGCAGGTGTATGCAACAAAGGCACTTTTTGGAAGAAAAAAAGCTTTGTTTCGGTGCTCTAAACAAGATTCAAGTTTGAGACAGTTAACTAAGATTATGCGATTAACGCAAACTAGTTTGTGCATGCTTATCTATAAATCATGAAAGCTTCAAAATGGATCTGGATGGATGTGAGAAGTTAAGGAGCATTTCTCAGGTTCGCGTTAAAAGTAGGGCTATCAGCAATCCTTCTGAACGGGATGAAGATGCTTCAAGGGTTATAACGATAAATACACATCCTCCCAGCCTTCTATTAATCGGTGCCGATGGTCATTCTACTGATTTAGTGTGCATAAATGGGTTTATGTCTAAAGGCCTCCGATTTGGTAGATTTGACGCCGTCAAAAGAGCATATATATATATATATATATATATATATATATATATACATATATATATATAATTCGAAAATAAAAGGAAATAAAACCCGTTGAAGGCTCTCCAATCAATGGGCTGTAAACTAAGCATAAAATAAAATCTTTATGATCGGATGCATGTTGATTGGTTTCCGAATTGGCATCGTGAAATAAAAGTAGGTGTGAAATGGGACATTTGACAGTATATAGACAAGCTAGTTCGCAGGTTAAAAGGGTAAAGTGGAAAACGACATTGAAGGATAGGTTTGACAAATTTATACACATCTGATAAACCAGTGTACTTACCAGTGTTAATTGAAGTCGAAACAAACTTGTGCCCAGCCTGAGGCATCTCTTTGTGAGAGGTTAGCAGTGGGCCCATACTAACTTCCAGCTTGTACTCCCGTCGTAGTCGAGACAATACTACTTCCAGGTGAAGATCTCCCATTCCTGCTACCACCCACTGGCCTGTCTCAGGATCAAAGGTCGCCTGTGAGTAAGTAATTCAAGGAGAAGATGATTAGACAGTATTACATACGGAAAAAAGTATAAACTAGTACAATGGGACGACTTAGATAAAGTAGATTAATCAAAGATTAAAAAGCAGAAAAATGTGCAATAAAATAAATATCGGAACCTATATTCGGCCCTATAAAGTCCAGAAGTAGAATATCTACAAATCGGAAAAGCGTATTCATGTCCGCGTGTAGGTAGTTAGCGTATTCGTCTGAGAAATAAGAGGTCAAGCGTTCGATGAACATCCTGTGAGAGGAGAATGACCAGCTGTGATGATTAAATTCTGCTTTAATATATTGGGATAGCGGAACTTGAGCTTAGCACTAGGATGAATACCATGAAGCTGGACTGTTACCAAAAGTCGGAACATGGTTACTTTGAGCAAGGGAATGAGATCAAGAGTGACCTTCGGAGTCCTAATCTGGATTCAGGAATTTCCATCAAGCGAAAGTTCCCGTTCCAAGATCCTCAGGAAGTAAATGCAAAATTGTTCGTTTATATCCCATACTTTTTTGAAAATAAGTTATATGAATAACAGTGGCGAGACACTACATGTCCTCTGTTCCAGCAGTTCACAAACATAGAATAACTCAAAGAGGAGACGAGGACTTTGTAATCCAAAGTTTGTATAAAAGCACAACTATGTACATGGACATCGAGTTGGTTTTGAAGATTGAATGCGTACGTCATTTTCATTGAATCATCTTCTACTTTCCATATTAATATGAAAAGCAAGATTGTTGATAAACATACCTTATTTCATCTCGGGGTCGGTGTGGCTGGTTTTATATATAAAAATAAGTGATAGAGAAAATTGAGCATGAGATGTCATTAGAGATGTACTTGTTATTACTAAATATTCATTATTTATTACTATTTGATAGTTATTCAAAGAAGTACTCAGACTTCAACAAGAAGGCACCTATTGTAGTATACGAATTCAAATAACTGGGGTAATTACCTTAAAACTAGGATCTTCTCGTTGCATACAGGTCAGAGCTTTTTCCAAATTCCTGAATGCTAAGCTACTTCGTGGTTCAAGGGCAGCATGAACAACCGGTTGAGGAACAAATTCACTTTCCAAATTACCTTCCATCAAATCTTCTCCTTCTCCTGCTTTATTCACGCTTTCAGTCACAACAGGACCGAGAATATCTCCGGTTCTCGTTGATTGTAGACCACTCAGTGCAACAATACAACCAGGACCAGCGCGTTCAATGTTCTCATATGCATCACCAGTTAATTGCATAAGACCTCCAATCTAAATAGTTAAAAATACATCACCTATTGAATAATAATAAGTAGAAAAAAATAGGCCAAGTTTACCTTTTCAGTAATTGAAGAAGCATCCAAGTCAGACCGTGTCCAGTTTTTTATCTGCATGCCAGGAGTAACATGACCGGAGTAAACGCGGCATAGCGACAAGGGACCACGTTGAGGGTCAAAGAGAATCTTGAAAGTGAGGAGAGCAGGTGGAACCTGATCACCTTGACTGGCTGAGGAGTTTTGAATTCGAGCCAGGGTATTGGCGATTAAGAGTGGTGGAGGTCGTTGGCATGGATCAGGAAGATAGTCAACGATTCCATCCAAGACAGGCTGGACGCCAATGTTTCGACGGCTACTGCCCATAACAACCGGAAATCCTTTGGAGGAAGTAGTAACCTTAAGGAATTAATAATAGAATTATTTAAAAGTATGGCTTAAGAAGAGATGATTTACTTATATCAAATGGCAGGCGTTTTGATAGTTATCATTAGCTCTTTAGTTGACTTCGGGCTCCACAGAGAAGAGGGAAATCAAAGTCACAAAAAGTCGAGAGGGGGTAGGGTACAGAAGAATGAGTCATTTATGTAAAAGAGGCAGGCACAAAGATAGAGAAAAAGGTAAGATGAGTGCTGTGAAAGTGGTGGAATGTGACATAGAGTGGAGCCATGGTAGTTCGAAGTCGGAATTGAACTGCCGGTTAATAGTAGGGATAAGGTGAGGTGTATAATGTGGAAGTAGCCAAATATGACATGCAGTAGGGTCATAGTAGTTTGAAGTCAAAAGTCAACTACCGGTTTATCGACTATTTTTGCCGTATGAGTATATACTGTCCAGGGAGCACCACGTGAAGGTAAGTCTATCGCATGATTATTTATATAATTTCCAATAAATAATTCGAAATTAGGTGTCGTAAGGCAAATAAGAAAGTTCTGAAATTTATTAAGAAGAGTTTATGATGAATGATGTCAGGCACTACGAGCAGAAAAATAGACTAATAAAGAGATAAGGAAAATGAACCTTGAGAAGACAATATCTCTAAAATATCTCATACTTAATAAAAGTATAGAAAGCGAACTAGGAATGGCATAATTAGAGGTGCATTAGTGTCATAAATACTATCAAGGCAAAAAAGGCAGTTTATGGAAAGAGGATTTCAATAGTTGAAAGCGGGACTTAATGAGAACCTAATCCACTGAAACTCGGTATCATTGCCCATCCGAATGAACTGAAAAACCTACCAAAACACAACTGCCAGTCCCGCGTTTGGATGCTTCAAAACCCGTGGCATTAGAAAAGGATAATCGTATAAAATCGAATTAATTTGAAACCTCACCAAATCTTTTTAAAAATAAACTCAACAACGTCCGATTTCAAATCTCCATCCAATCACCCGTTTACCTTATTTGTTTTTATAAATTACCATTTATGAACATAAACTGCAAATTTCCATTACAAATGAAAATAACAGAGGGCTCTCTTACTTGTTTCACGCAGTCACGAACGACATCGTAAGGAAGCGATTTCTCGGGATTCTCAGCGAGAAGATATTCGTTCGCAAATGACTCATCCAGTTCAGCAAGGGACGCGAGCAACTGTTCACGAGCTTTTAATGCCAAGGGAAGTATAACGGCTGGATTAATACCCTTCGGTGCATTGAAAGGCTTTGAATTTTCCCCAGAAGACAGTAATTTGAACAAATCTACTTGGAAGAACCGGGAGCCGTCGTGAGTAATGTTCTCAGGCCACACCTAGCACAGAAATGTATTTCAAAAACCTTGAATAAACTTCAGAAAGGCGTTTTCTAAGAATTAACAAGAGATGTAGAGAACACTGTTATCCATATGTCTTTTTTTGTCCTAAAGTCTCTTTAATACTAGATAATGTATACTTAAACGGGGTGTGCGATAGACTTACCTCCACGTGGTGCACCCTGGGCAACGTATACTCATACGGCA